GCAGCGCCTCCTGCCTCTCTCTCTGCTGCGTCACCTTCCACTGCTTCCCCTGTTCGTGTCCCCATCACCTGTCTTGCATCCACCACTCTCATCTCCCTCTATCATCGCTGCTCTCATTCTGCACCTGTGTGTTTGCGGGGGAGGGGGACCCCTCTTTTCTCTCTCTCTTTGTGTCCCTTCCCATTCTGTCTGCACCTTCTTCCCTGGTCTCTCTGCTTCTCGCTCAGCTTTTCCACCCTGACCTCTCCACGCATCTCTCTCTGTGCTCCCGACCCCGTCTTGTCTCTTTCCATCTGCCTCCCCTGTCCCCGTCCCTCTCAGCTCTGCCTCTCCCACTTCTCTCTGGGCCTGTATTTGTCTTAACTCTTTTCCCTGTCTCTCCACCTTCAGGTACATTTCCGGCCTCTGTCCCTCCCTCTCGCAGCCCCTCCCAGCGCCTTCCTCAGAGCCCCTCCACCCCCACCCCATCCGCCCTGCCCTGCCCTGGGGTCCCCTCCCTGGACCACTTCCAGATCCTAACACCTTTACGGGCCGGGCAGGTTCACATGAACAATTGTGGCTACTTTTCTGGCCAGAGAGGGAGGGAGGAGATGGTACCCGGGAGTCTTGGAATGGGAACTAAGCAATTAATAAAATGTTAGGAGAAGGGCGGGGGGGGGGGGCGGGGGGAAGCTGGGCAGGGCCAACTGCCCAGACCAGGGATAAAAGGGATCTACAGCGTGACTGGGAGGTGAGACACCATCCCCACTTCCTCCTCCCAGGAAGACATCCAGGCCGGACGTGCTCCTTGGTCAGCATCCTCCCTCCAAGCCGCCAAGGACCCGGGACCCATGTCTCTAAGGGTCTCGGTCTTCCTGTGAGAGGCTCTCGCTGCCTCTCTGGCCCTCGGCCTCTGGGCCTGACGCAGCCTCCTTCTCTCTCACTTTCTTTCTGTTTTTTGCCAGAACCCAAAGCCCGGGTCCCCAGAATGCTCCTCCTGCTGACCGCACTTCAGATCTGGGCTCTAGGTAAGATACGCAGTGGGGTCCGGGGTAGGAGGTGCCCCGGAGACGCTGAGAAAGAAGGGGCAAAGGGCCCTGGGGGCCAGGATGCTCATGGGTGACCTGGTGAGGAGGAGAGGGGGGCTGTAGTTTGGAAATCAGGGCTGAGGGATGGGCTGGAGCCGGGCCTGAGAGCTGACTTGTGGTGACATCGCAGTTTTAGGGCATAGGGTGCTCCCAAATGCTGGTGGGGGTGACGATGGGGTGGCAGGGATGTGGTGTGGAGTATGGAGTGGGTGTTGGGAGAGATGGTGGGACCCGGGGGCCACATGGAGTGGGGAGTTTGGGGATGGGACATGGAGCTCATTGAATGTTTTAGGGGAGGGTCGAGGGGCGTATTGAGATCGAAAGTGTCTGTGGGAGAATGCCGTTGAGGGCAGGACACATAGCAAGGCCCTGGGTGAGATCATGGGGAGGGGGTCAGTAAGCTCCCTATTGCGTTGGAGCAGAAATGGAGGCCCTGTGGGTGGGGCTGACCGAGGCGGCGGGTCAAGGGTTCAGCAAAGAAAGTGGGGAGGTTGGGTCCTGGAGATCCTTGATGGCTGGGGGCTGGAGGGCATTTGCTCACCTGCTCTTCCCACCCCACCCCTGCCTGTTCCTAGCCGGGGTCCAGAGCCAAGAGGATGAGAACAAAATAATTGGCGGCTACTCCTGCATCCAGCACTCCCAGCCGTGGCAGGCAGCCCTGCTGGCCGGCCCCGCCCGTCGCTTGCATTGCGGAGGGGCCCTGCTGTCAGAACACTGGGCCATCACCGCCGCCCACTGCTCCCGCCCGTGAGTGGCACCCTCCCCTACGCTTATGCCAAGTGACCTCCAGTTCGGAGGCCCAGAGCTCAGCCGAGAACCCTGGACCTCTGTGCAGAGCCCAACGGAGTAGCTGGGTCCAGGTTGGGGGTCTAGAGAAGAGCCTAGAACCTCAGACACAGCTCCGCGTATGGAATCCAGCCACGCCTCTTGAACTCGGTTTAGATTCTGAGAGCAGATGGAGCATTTAGAACCCCCCATACGCCAGCCTGGGGGCCCCCCACAGAACCTAGAACCGACTGCGTAACCTCAAGATCCCTACGGAGGCCGGGGCCCACATAGAGGCCAAGATTAGGAGCCCATTCTAGGTGGGTGGTTGAATTTGGGGCACAATCTACCTTTAGAAACTCAAGGCCCCCTCTCAGACAGAACACTGCCTAGATAGAACCCAGAGTCTGGTTCAGAACCTACAATCCAGCCATAAATTCGGAACCCCACTTAGAGCTGGGACATACAGCTCAGAGAGTAGGGTGGAAGCAGGACCGGGTGCCCATTCTAGATCCAATGTTTAGTCCAGAGTCTACAGCTCCTCGTTGAGCAGCCTAGAACCCAGACCCCAACCCAGTGCCTAGATCCCAGAATTCAGACCGTAACCCGAAGCCCCACGCAGAACTCATCACCCCTCTAAGCTTCTGCACCTAAACCTAGAACCCAGGCCTCCAATGAGAGCTCTCCGTCCAACTGCCTACGAACCAGGTCCAATGCCATAAACGGAAGTTCCCTTTAGAACAGCGGTTCTCAACCTGTGGGTCTCGACCCCTTTGGGGGTCGAACGACCCTTTCACAGGGGTCGCCTAAGACCATCAGAAAACACATATATAATTACATATTGTTTTTGTGATTAATCACTATGCTTTCATTATGTTCCATTTGTAACAATGAAATTGGGGGTCACCACAACATGAGGAACTGGATTACAGGGTCGAGGTATTAGGAAGGTTGAGAACCACTGTTTTAGAACCTAGAGGGCAGAACTCAGCCCAGAGTCTAGGATGCGAAGCCCAGAATGCAAACCAGCGTCTAGACACGTGGGTCCGGGAGCTCATTCTAGAACCCAGAGCCCAACCGGAGGCCAAGGGCTCAGACCACAGTCTAGAAGACCAAGAGCCCAGACAAACCAGTGATTCGATGTGAACAGCCCAGCCCAGAATCAAGACCTCGGACGGATGTTTAGGACCCTAAGCCCAACTGCAGCACAGAGCTCCAACCACTGTCCAAAGCCATGAGCTGAAGCAAGAATCCAAAACTCAACCTAGAAACTAGAGCTCATATCAATGTCCAAAATCCACAGCTTGGGTATTTTTTTTTTAATTGATTTCAGAGAGGAAGGGAGAAGGAGAGAGAGATAGACACATCAATGATGAGAGAGAATCATTGATCGGCTGCCCCCTGCATGTCCCCCTACTGGGGATCGAGCCCACAACCCGGGCATGTGCCCTTGACTGGAATTGAACCCAGGACCCTTCAGATGCTCTATCCACTGAGCCAAACCAGCCAGGGCCACAGCTCGGGTCTTAATCTATCAGTCCGTACAGCATCCTCCCCCTGCCCCAAAACGGAAAGCTCGAATCAACCTCTAGAACCCAGATTCAAGCCATCCTGCAGAGCTCAAAACAGACCCCTCAGCCTGCCCAACCAGTATCTAGAAAGGGTGCCACAACACACACTCCATCTAGAACCCCAGTCCCCGCTTAGATTACCAAATTCAAAAGGTCGGGGACCCAGAGGCCAGGCGAGAACCGGGACGGAGGCTCCCTGGAGCCCAGGCCAGAATATCGATTCTGATTTAGAGCCTGGAGCCGTAGCCCCGAATCTGGCGTAGAACACAGAGCAGAGAACCGGGCCCCGGCCAAGAACTCCCACCCATTGCCTTACCCCCCCCAGCCAGAAGCCAGAGCACAGCTCACGGGAGGAGGGGGCGGACGGGCCTGGGCGGAGAAAGGATACCCAGCAAATGCCCAGCCCCCAGGCAGAGGGATGGGGCTGGCGCGTGGGGAGGGGTCTCCGGGTCAGATCGTGAGCAGCGCTCCTCTCGCGGGTCCTGGGCCAGGATCCTGCGGGTCGCTCTGGGCAAACACAACCTGAAGAAGCGGGAGGCCACCCAGCAGGTGCTGCGCGTGGCCCGACAGGTGCCCCATCCCCAGTACAACCCCCGGACCCACGACAACGACCTGATGCTGCTGCGGCTGGAGCGGCCGGCCCGGCTGGGGAGCGCGGTCAGGCCCATCCCCGTGGCCCGGACCTGCGCCGGCCCACAGACACCCTGCCGCGTGTCCGGCTGGGGCACCACGTCCAGCCCCATCGGTGAGGACTCCTGCCCCCTGGAAAGGAGCGAGCTGGGGGCCGGGGGCTGGGCTCCGGGTCCGAGGGAGGAGGCAGTGGGCCCCCACATTCCAGGGTGCCTGGTGGAGGGTAGACCCCAAGTCCTGACCACTCAGTGCCTCCCCAGCCAGGTACCCCAACGCTCTGCAGTGCGTGAACATCAGCATCACCTCCCGGCAGCAATGTCAGCAGGCCTACTCCGGCGCCATCACCGACGGCATGGTCTGTGCGGGAACCCCGGAAGGCGGGAAGGACTCTTGTCAGGTGAGGCCCAGGGTGAGAGCCGGAGGAAGGGAGGTTGGGGGGGGGGGGTGATGGCTCGGGGCCAGGACTTCAATGCAAAAGGACCTCAGGAGCATCTAAGACAGTGGTTCCCAAACTTATTTGGCCTACCGCCCCCTTTCCAGAAAAAATATTACTCAGCGCCCGCTGGAAATTAATTTTTTAAAAATTTTAATAGCAGCCGAAACCGGTTTGGCTCAGTGGATAGAGCGTCGGCCTGCGGACCGAAAGGTCTCAGGTTCGATTCCGGTCAAGGGCATGTACCTGGGTTGCGGGCACATCCCCAGTGGGAGGTGTGCAGGAGGCAGCTGATGGATGTTTCTCTCTCATCGATGTTTCTAACTCTCTATCTCTCTCCCTTCCTCTCTGTAAAAAATCAATAAAATATTTAAAAAAAAAAAAAAAATTTTAATAGCAATTAAACAGAAAGATCTATGTATTGATGTTTCTACCTTTTTCGTAAAATATAGTTAAGAAAGGTGTAAATTAGAAACATTGAAGTTTGAAATTATGAAACTATTTATTGAACTCAGAATAGAAAGGGAATACAAAAAAAGTTAAAACAGATGCGCCTGTGGCCATCACCGCCCCCCTGGATCGCTGCAGCGCCCACCAGGGGGCGGTAGCGCCCACTTTGGGAATCACTGATCTAAGACCTTGAGCGATTGGAAGAGCCGGGCGGCCTCCCCAGTGTGAGCTGTGGGAACGGACCTAATCCCTCTGTGCCTCAGTTTCCTCCTCTGTCAAGCGGAGGCAGCACCGCTTAGAGCAGTTGGCGGATCCGACGAGAGATGGTCCGTGGAAAGAGCGCGGAGCGGTGCCTACACGCGGCTCCGATCGCTGCTGTCCTTGTCCTGACCGTGCACCTGGGAATCTGTGCTCGGGGCCTGGGGGCACCTTACTCCATCCCCGGGAGATGGCTCCAGAGTCAGGGGGGTGTGATGAGCTACACACAGTTTTCTAGAGACACAGCTAAGACGAAGGGGGGGGGGGGGGGCCCCCTAAAACCCCAAATAAGTGAATGCAAGAAGGAGAAGAAGGGTCCCCCCCCGGGGACCTAACTTCCCGTCCTTTCCGCCCCGGGTCCTCGCTTTGGATGTAGGGGTATGCTTGTACTAGAAATTATTGTGCCGATTTTTTTTTTTTTTTTTTTTAAATTTACTCGAATGAAAAGTTTAATATATAGTATGATTAAAAATTGACAATGATTAATCTTTTCCGCTACCACTTATTACCCTAGCAGAGGAGAGGAAGGTGTTATTTTTTTT